GGGAGGGAGCTGTTGTGTGGAGGGGGAGAGGGGGATGCTGTGGGGCAGGTCAGCTCGGTGGGCCCTCCCGTTCCCTCATCTTCTTCTTCCCCTCTCTTCTTCTCACTCACTCACTCACTCGCTGTCTCACTCTCTCTCTCTTTCTACCACCTTCTCCCCTCGCACACACTGCTGTTGCTGCTGCGACATTTCGCTATGACACCGCCGTGTCTATTTCCATACGCGAATAACGCACCGTCGCTGAGCGGCAGTTAGCGCGCGTGCGGTGTGCGTCGCCTTGTCCGTGCCGTGCACGACGGGCACCGGGGCACGTGCACACGCTGCACGCACGGCGGGGCGGGCCTGCGGGGCACGGGGACCCGGGTGAGCGGCCCCGTTCAAACTGGGCGCGCCGCCGCCGCCCCGCCGCCGCCCCGCCGCGCGTCCGCCTTGTACGGCAACAACAACTTCCTTTTCCTCCGGCCGGACAGACGGTCGGACGGGACGGACAGGCGGCGGACAGGTGTGGATGGCGATGAGGAATGGCCGCGCGCGCCGCACGCTTTGCTTGCTGCTGCTGCTGCAGTCTTTACCGATACGGTGGACAGCTCAGCTCAGCACAGCAGCGGGCCGCGGGCAGTACAGGGCGACATACCGACCAACCCCGGCCCAATCAATAACCGCATAACTCGGACGCGGCCGCCGCGGCGCGCTGCGTTCGATACCAATCGTACACACTCCTCTCTGACGTGCATGTCGTCGGCCCGGCGGCCCCAAGTGGATGTAGTCCAACGTGACCTACCCGCGGAGCTGTACGGCACACCGCGATCAGCTCGCTCGCAGTGCAGAACACAACGTTCTGCATCTGTCTGTCTGTCTGTCTGTCTGTCTGTCTGTCTGTCTGTCTGTCTGTCTGTCTGTCTGTCTGTCTGTCTGTCTGTCTGTCTGTCCGTTCGCCCAAGTCTGCTGCTAGCCGCCTATGCCCTTTCACCACCCAGCCCAGCGCCAGGCCCCGTAAGGGCTGGGCACATTATCGCTGAGCGAAGCTCAGTCCAAGTCGCTGAGGGGTCAGGCGATGTCTCCGTCGTGAGTCTGTCTGTCTGTCCGTGTCTGCGTTCCTCTTTTTCTGGAAAACGGCTGCACCGATGACAAAATAGAAGTTTGCTTTAACATGAACAATTTAAGAGAGACTCAGTGTCCCCTTTTCGTTCGCTACGGACTAATTTGAAATATATGGCCCTTTTTTTCGTAGAGGGAGCTTCAGATGTTGCTGTTTCGGTGGTGGCTACACTGAGTGAAAAAGAGCGCGAACACGCAAATGGGTCCTTGGGCCCACTTCGCGACTTTCTGATTCTCTCATACGTGATCATAATGTCAGATGGTCAAACCGAGTGTGAAATTTTTAGTTTTAGAGTTGCGGAACTCGCCTTCCCAAGTTTCGCCGGTGTCCGGTGAAAAGAAACGAAAGTGATATTTTGAATGGTTTACGTAATTACTTACGTAAGTAGGAGGGGAGGAGGGGGTTCGGGGATCGGGAGAAATGTGCAAAGGTAACTATTGTTTCGGGGTCATCTTGACAAAAGAAAACGAAAATGTTTTATGCTCCAAGACGATCGGAATCGAAATGGCAGAGTTATTGCCACCCAAATTGACAATTTGGTCGTTTTTGCACACATTTACCCC